AATAATATGAATGCTACTGACAACTTTTCTTCTCATAGATCGAACAACTTAGAAGAAGTGGGACAACTCTTTAATTATCCAAGCCACCTGACCTCAGTCAAGGTAAGATAGATAATCTGAAATTCCCTATAACCATAATGAATTTAATTCATAGCCACAACACTCTAGAAGTGGTTTTTGAATAAAAAAATAAAAACCAGTGCTTCTGAAAATGTGATGTCTACACTGCTTTACTGAAGAATTCTATCAAACATTTAAAAAAATCTGGCGTGATTTTTACATGTCCCCCCCCAAAAAAAAAAATTGGGCACTTCCCAATTCATTTCAAAAGACTGATACTCTTCTGATACCAAATCCAGAATTTACTCATCCTCAAATATCCATTTATGAGACTGGGGTACCTTTTACCAGCTCATTTTTATTGCTTTTAGGAAATGGTCAAGATTTTGAAAAGCCAAGAATGAATCTTTGTTTTTAAGTCAAAATGAAAAAGGAATTTCGAGTAGAGACACAGACTAAGAAGGTTCTGTCCTCTCTTCTGTGTGTGATTTGTGCATACATGTCTCAGCTGCTCTGCCATTTATTATTGACCAACTTTGCAAAGCAATTGGAACCTACTGTGGGCAGGAGATCAAAGTTCAGAGTCCAGTGTGTTCTGTTATTGATCCAACCTGTAAACCTGAAATGTAACTTGCCTCTGTAACATGGGTTTGCTGGTTTAATTCCAACATCCATGTTCTAAACAATCATCCAAGCTGGTAAACTAAGACAAAATTAGTAACTGTGTTTACATTGTTATCAAAAAAAGTGGTTAACTGTTCCTGACTGTTCCTCTGAAACTGACTAGACTTGGGACCCCAAGGAACTTCCTTCACCTATCTGAGTAGCTCTGCTAAACTGATGGTGGATATAAGATTTTTTAAGATTGACAGTGTCAACGCTTATTACATAGTTTCCTTTATTCAAGTTTTACTTATTTATGTATATAGAACTGGGGTCCAAGCCAGAGGTGTGGGGGGTGAGAGGACTCAGCAGAGACAGAGTGGGGAGCAGAACAGGGTGATTGATTGAAATACATTGCTGAGGGGAGCAGCAAGTAGGTCAGGAAGAGTCTGCTATACTATGCGGTTCACCTCCCGGGTGGGGAATCGAACTCATGCTGCAGGAGTTGTGGATTGCTTCATAGTGCTGTGCTTCAATCTGTTGCACCACCAGAGAGGACGCAACATTTTTTTTTTCAAGTTTTTTTTTTTTTAAAGATTTATTTATTTATTCATATGGACATATGGAACTGGGGTACAGGCTAGAGATGTGGAGGGTGAGATGATTCACCAGAGACAAAGTGGGGACCAGTACAGGCTGATCGACGAAGTACACTGCTGAGGAGTGCAGCGGGCGGGTCAGAAGAGGTCTGCCGCGCCATGTGGTCACCTCCGGGGCAGGCGGGAATCAAACTCATGGGGAAGTGGCTTTTTAGCTTCTTAGTGCAGTGCTTTATCCTGCTGTGCCACCAGGGAGGGCCTCAAGTTGTTTTTAAGCAAGATTTAACTTACACTGACACCAGTAGTACCTGCAAGTGGTATAACTGACTACTGAGATAAACCTAAATATTAAGGAACAAAAGAAAGTTTCACTAGCATTCTATTTCATTATCTGGTCACTGACAAAAATCTGTTCACATGTAAGACACCTTTACTGTCAAGTCCTTCAGAGCCAGAATGTTTTGAAAACTATAGGTTTTTAGCTATAACCTGATAATCTGCCTTTTTATGCAGTATTAGGTTATCAATGATTGCCTAGTGTAGAATACAGTCCCCTTAAATTGGGGATACCTGATACGTCAAAGTGACATTTAAAACTTTTCCATGAGAGATTTTTCTACATTATAGAGTTTCCTTTTTCCCTATATATGTAGCTACAAAAAATCCAGATAACACTGGGTGAATCTATCATTTAAATTAAGCAACATTTCTTAACATAATGTCCTTTACTTATAATCACTATCAACATAAACTTCTCCTTCTATACGTTTAGTACCTTCATCATGCATGTGTAGAGTCAATGCCACAAAATCCCCAGGAGGAAGCTTTGAAGTCCCATTACTAGGCCTCAGTATCACACAAGTATCCTCTTTAGTCAACTGTAAAATATCCAGTTCGCATTATACAAATTCCTGGTGTCTAGGTTTAAGGCCTAGGAAGATATAGTGACTTACAGAGATTTCAATTTTGCCAAGAATGCAGGAGAAGGAAGAGACACTTTTCAATGCAATTAAATAAAGATTAAGACCATTGCCAAGAAGCAAATGGGATTAAAATCTCATTTGGCTAAAACGGACATAATTTTGTCCCACTCTAATACTTAATAATGTGAAAGCTGACTTTACCGTGGTACAATCTGCTATTGGTGCCAGAGGAAGAAGGGAGAGGGTCAGATTCACCAGGTACAGGACAGGAGGAGGTAGAGGGAGACCCAGTCAGGAGGTCACTGGGATGGTGTTATGCCTCACTGGCCCAGAGGCAGAATGAAGACAAAGGGCCTTTTCCCAAGTTCTCCCAGGAAATATGGCAGGTACAGTCATCCAAAGATATTCTTTCCTCAATGAGACAGCGCATCAACATAGAGCTACTACCCCCTAAACTCTGCTGTGTTCCTTTGGGAAGTCTCCCCAAGCTCAGCTTCAGGTCCCCTGGCTGCAGGGTGCAGTCTGCATACACTGTCACATAACTGCCTGGGTTTGAACAGCAGAGATGATTTCAGTGACGCTGAGAGCATCATCTGCCTTCTCTGACACTCAGTAAATCTGTAATACGGAAGCCGCATGGGATTCCAGGCCTGGCATGATGATGTGTGCTGGTCACAGAGGCCAGATGCTCAAAGGTCTTAGTCTTCATGTGTGTGACAGTGTCACTTCCAGGGCGGGAATCACTTGTGTGCCATTTTCCTTTGCTCATCTCTCCACCCCTGCCCCTCTCTGCCCCCTGCCCCCCCCCCCCACATTGCCACATTAACTGCCACTCCTTTCCCTGATACCTGACACCCCTACTTCCATTTTGAGGCTGCTGCTGCTGCTTTAGAAAGTATTCTTCTAATTACAGTCATTATGCTGCTTTGTTGGTGGTATGGCCAGGTGATATGGGAGCCTGGGACACGCGAAAGCCATCAGGCTGCTACGGAGGTGGGGACAGAAGGTCCCCATGGTGGGCACTCCTGCCCCCCACCAGAGCCTCCATGCTGTGTCTTAAAAGAGTAGAAACGGTCACGTGGATCCCCCCTTTTGTGGACACTCATGAAGAGTTGGTACAGTCAATGGGAAACCCTCGGTTTGTTCTAAATCTAGTTCTGTTGCCCATTTCACCGATCATCAAACTCAGTCATTCAGTCACACCCACGTTTGCAGATTGGGGTTCTAGCACAGTCCTGCACTATACTATTCTGACACTACACTGAGCTATGTCTTTAGACAACTGTCACTAAGTAAACGTTTAGAAAAATTATTAACATTACATATCTGCAACTTTCTTCTTCTAAAGGCATTAGTAACCAAAAGGAAAACTGGCCTCCAGCCCATAGACCCATGGCTAGGAGATTAAAAATCATAAACATTAGGTAAACATTAGGAGAAAACAAGACAGTTCAGAATGCCAGCAACACATTTCTAGAGTGTAGATCTGAAATGATAGCAGTTAGCACCACGTGATAGAGACAATAACATTTTCCAATAATTAGAAAAAAACACACACTGCCAAATAGCTTTCATAAGATAACTTATAACTTGAAACCTTCTTGTGTTCTTACTACTTAAAAGTATAAAGTCAATTCCGAGTCAAAATATATTCTTTCTCAATGGTTAATTGTTGAAACAGGAAAAGATCTGCTTGACTATCCAATTCTCTAGTTCTTTCCCCCCAGACTTCAGATAGCCCATGACATGAACGAACGGACACAGTTATCCCCAAGTCAGAGGAATGTAATTATTGCTCTAACCTGACAAAATGCCATCGGTGTCAGCATTAGCACCCCTAGGATGTCTCGTCGGCATTTGTCCTTGGCAAGAATTGTGCTTTTGGCCACAGCTTCTAAAAATGGCACCTCTCCTATGTGTACAGCAGACATACATCTGTATGCATTCCAGATGCAGACATATACTCAATGCAGACATCAGACGAAGGAGCAGGCATTGTGTGCAGCAGTGGGACGCGCGTGCTCGGGAACATGACCTACTTACGAAGGCAGGCAGGCAGAGTCCCCCAGGCAGGCGTCTTCAGCATGACAACGAGCAGTATGCACTGCAGTCTGGCTAGCAGGAAGGGCCCGGGCCTCGCCCTAGCCCAACTCACTGAGCCCTGCTGGGATCCTGCTGCTCTCTGGGTAACGGCATCCCATTAGGAGTGTGACACAGTAGGGAAAGAGACCGGTTCACTGTGAGACCTGCTACTCACTCTCGTACAGTGCATCGGCCCCCCTTCCCACTGCACAGTGGCTGCCGAGCTCTGGGGTGAGGCGTGTGGAGAAAGTGATCCGTGGAGTCAATTCCCGCAGGACATAGGCTGCGCAGTCAGAGAGGGCTTTGAGGAGGCTTTGAGGCCTTCTACGGAGAGGGCTTTGAGGAGGGGGTGGGGACCGGAACACCTTAGTCTGGCACCCCAGACTTAGGAACAGGGGGAAGAAGGCTCTTTAAGTGGAAAAGGCAAAATGACAAAGGTTGACGCAGGAAGACAGGGCTGTGGGTGACTCTCTGCTTGAAAACAGATGGAGAAGGCCTAGCAATGATTTCTGGAGGCTGAGTTTAGCGTGCAAGCCGGGGCTGGGCTTCCCCTGCGCATACCTGCTACTTTTCCACACCGAGTTAATCAAAAACTCCATTATGTTCGCTGGGTAAGGAAAATGATCCAATTTAAATTGCCAAGCTTGGATGCTCATCCAAAGAGGACATCTGAGAGATTTACATATAAAATTTCCCAGGTTAGAGGAGAAAATGGGCAACGGATTCCAAGTACCTGCTTGCTGGGCTGCCTGTGGCATCTGCTGGGCCCTCTGAGCGCTGTACTGAACGGAGGTGATGGGCCGGTACTGCTGTGTGGTTGAGGTAGGGTATTGACCAGATGGGTAATAGTATATGGGCATCTGTGGAAGAGAGAGACAAGTAGCAGGGATTGGAGAGTTAGGTAATGTCTTTAAAACACACAACTTCTGGTCATCTTATATACGTGATCTGATTAGACTGTGAATACAGCACAGCACCCAAACTTCCACGCCCCTGTCAATCCTATTTCTCAAACCCTTGAATCTGAGTTGCTTTGGGACTGTATCGGCCAGCGCTGTTGGCAGAAACGATGATCTCCAAGATTCCACAGCCCCATCCTTAGGAAGGTTTGCAGTTTCCACTCTCTAGCAGGAAAGCCTCCCCCCATGCACCCCCCTCCCCCACTCCCCACCACCACTGGGAAAGGAAGTCCAGGCTCTCCTGCTGGAGAAAAGGCCATGTGTCTTATAGAGGCATCCTGTTCACAGGCCACACCAGTCTGCTAGGCAGACACAGGCCAGCCCCAATCAAGTCATTAGTCAGCATCACATGTGACAGACGGGGTCACCAGCAGAACTTGTCACCAGCACGATGACAGTCATCTGGAGACAACATATTTTGTGCTTTTATTTAAAAAAAAAAAAGTTTAGTTTATTAATGCATATGAGAACTGGGGTATAGGCCAGAGGTATGTGTGTGTGTGTGTGTGTGTGTGAAAGATTCACCAGAGAGAGTGGGGAGCAGAACACGCAGATTGACTGAAATACACTGCTGAGGGGAGCAGAAGGCACAGTGGGAGAGGCCTGCTGTGCCATGTGGTTCACCTCCCTGGCTGGGGATTGAACTTGTGCTGCAGTGGCTGGCAATAGCTTGATAGCGCTGTGTCTTTAACCCCTGTACCACCAGGGAAGCCTGAATTTTTTTTTTTTTAATGGAAACACAGGTAAGTCATAAAAACTGATGCACTGTAGCCTGTGAGAAGCAGTGAATGATGCTATACAATATGGTGAAGACTATCAAAGCACGTGGGCTGTCTGGAATATAGCTACGATCCAAAAATTGACATTCAGCATTAAAAGAGATATATGTTTAAAATGCTGTTTAAGTCATCTATCACTTTCTAATGTCTGAGAATGGCTGAAAATATTGTAATGAATTCCAGTAAGGTTAAAATCCAATGTCATCTACTCTGGAAAGTTGTCTTTGCCCAACTCAGGGAATTCATATTAAGGCTATTTTCTCATTAACCATAAAGATTTTCACTATCAGACCCCTTATTTTTCTTCTAGATCTTCTTTAAAGGCTAAACAAAGGCATGCAAATATTACTTATACTTAGAATAAAATTGTGAGTGACCCATTTGAAAACTGATTTTTATGGTTATTTTGTTTTCTGATTTTCCGTGTGACTTATCTGTTTCATTCTTGCTGTTGAAACATAGGTTAGCCTGTTTTTCTATCTTAGAGTAAAGCGGGGGCAAAAGATGACTGCACTTTGTTGATCCACTATTCTGCAATCCCATAGAGTCATTATGAACTGTAATTCGACTGTCTAACAATGCGTCTATTCAAGGGTGAAAAATTCAATGAATCTGCAGCAAATATGCCTCAGTTGTAGAAAACCAAATAATTTATAGTATACATTGCTTATAGTGATTTGATCTTACTACTTCACCCTTTCTTTGTAAGGCAATTTATACCAATCAGAACCCAAATAATTTTGGAGTAATAATAGGATTTAACTATGCTCTGGTCAACTGGAGTGCCATTAAAGATTATTACTGCTGATGGGCCCTCCCTGGTGGCGCAGCGGGTTAAAGCACAGCATTAAGAATCAAAAGCCACTTCTGCATGAGTTCGATCCCCGCCTGCCCTGGAGGTGACCACATGGCGTGGCAGACCTCTTCTGACCCACCCGCTGCTCCCCTCAGCAGTGTACTTCGTTGATCTGTCTGTTCTGCTCCCCGCTCTGTCTCTGGTGAATCTTCTCACCCTCCACATCTCTGGCCTGTACCCCAGTTCTGAATGAATAAATAAATAAATCTTTTTTTAAAAAAAGATTATTACTGCTACCTATAGAAGATTTCTAATATTACAAAAAAGAACAACTGTTACCTAGTTTTAATCATCACCAATCTATCTATGTCTTCTAGGAAGAACAGTATTTTGTTTCTATAGGAATGACTGTCTTGATTGCCTCTGTTTGTTTTCCCCTCTTACATTCAATATGAAATATGAAAATACCTCAAGGATAAGGGATGGAGGCCAAACATTTGGTAATTTCCTGATGGGTGCTAAGGATTTGTGCAAAAGCACAACTCCTCTTTGAGAGAGGCAGGGAGGGACAGAGGTTAGGGAAGGAGGGGGGGAAGTGCCTCAGCTTTAGCACACAGAGGTTTTGGTTTCTTCTTATTTTTTCACCCAGTCTCTCATGCCTTCTTTGGGAATCACATTCCCAACTGTATGAAACAAGTGGGAAATGGACATCTGACTAACTGTCTCCCTCCCACTAGAGGGAGAGAGCTGAGCTGGGCCCAGAGGAATCATTCAAAGATTATTATGAAAAGATGGGAGGGAAGAGAGACAGGTATAAGAACACCTTAAGTGGAGGAAATGTGTATTTTTAAACAGCTACATGAAGTCCTCATGAAGAATCAGAAAGTGAGTGAATTAGGAGGTAAAGCAATAAAGAACAGAAAGAAGAAACTAAAACATCAGCACTCATATCATTTTCCTTCTTCAGTCCCTCTTTGTCTTGCCCATGGGCTTTCTGCTTCAACTTCTAGGGGACATTTAGAAAGCTCACATGAAGAGTTAGATGAAGTGAACTTCAAGGTTATTCAGTAGATTCATTCTCTTCATAAATGCCATGCATATACCCATAGACCATAACTCAAAGGTCACTGTTCAGTCAGGTAATCGTGTTTCCAAATGTTTGCTACAGTTGACATCACTGTGGCTTATACCCTCCCCTTTAACTGTAGTTCTTTTTAAAAGCAGTTCATGGGTGTCATGGACAATGGACATTTGCTTTGTGTTTTATCTTCCCTAACTCTTTCTATTTTTAAATCTATTGAAAAACGAATGAATGTATGTTCTGTTGCAGATACATGCCAGGGGTTCAGAGTTGCCTTTGTTCCTGCAGTACATGAATATTGAGATTTCTTCATCAAGTTTTTTTAAATATCTTCAATAACACACTCTGCACACTCCTCTCTTTGCTACTATAATGGGTAAAAACAGTTAGCGCTTACTTAGGCTCAAATAGCCCGATAATTAAAAGGGAATAATTTGATTTATTAATAAAATTATGAATCTATTACTCAAACCTTTTCAGCTATCACTTCAAAGTATTTTTCCACAGCTCTTTAAATTCTACTAGCAAAGAGACATTACAAAGATGGCAACTGAAGATGAACTATTAATTAATCATTCAAAATAAAATGAACAACTGAGTGAAAATCTTTTTATGGTAGAGGATTTGGCATGGTGTGAAAAGAAAATAATTTATTCAAGATATTAAAGCAGTGAAACAAATGATACAAAGGTGACACAGTACTTGCAACAGCCCATCCAATGGAATCTTTCATAATTAGGATGGAATTTGCTTGGGATATATGTGCCTTGAAAATGGACCAGAAAATGTCTCTGTGCATTTTACAACTTGACAGTAATCACTTGCAATATTCTGCAAAGGGATGCCCAAGAGAGCACCAGAGATGTTTGGTGGTGAACAGTAACACATAATCAGTCTTTGAAAAGACAGTAAAAATCAGTGATCTGTGGTGTCTTACATGCTCAAGTCAATTAAATATGATTAATGGCTACCTGTGAGAACATGCGTGAGCTTGCTGGCCCCTGCGGAGAGGAAAGGACAGTGGATGCCGACTTAGCTTCCTCTTTATATTCATAGAAGTCACTTCTGCCTGGAGCAACTGATCAGCTCCAGAAAATGTTTACGAATCGATACAGAAGGGAACACATTTCCAGAGCAGCCGTGAGGGAGGCAGAATGTCCCCCAGGGGCAGGCCATGCTGGTTCCGAGCCTTTCCATCCCTAGGCCAGCCAGTGGGCAGGATACCAGATAGCAGGGAATTTCCTTGGGCCTCTGTACCAGCATCTGGAAAATGGGATGTTGTCTCCTGGTGCTGTGGGGGGCTGGGTTGGTTTCATGAAACTGACCTGGAGTCCCAAGCCTTTTCACAAGTGATGGGTGGGGAATAACAGCATGGCCCAGCAAGGCCAGCAGGCTGACCCGGTGGTGTCCTATAGGGACATATGGAGGTCAAAATGCACCACAAGTCAGCTTGAGGTCACAGATATGAACAGAAGCTCAGTTACCTGTGCAGGTAGAGGCTGTTGCACAAATCCCTGTGGTGAGGGTGGGGACTGGAGGACTTGCTGGGACATGGGAGGCCCAGAGCCTGAGAACCCTCCTGTAGGAAGCTGCTGGCCTGTAGAAGCGATGACATAGCTGGGCTGTTGGGCTGGTTGCGGCAGGAGGGACGATGGGTAGACAGGACCAGATGGGGGCTCAGGAGTCTCTCTTGAGGATTGCCGGCTCAGGGTCATCTGGCTGAACTGTGTGGCCACATCATCTCTCTGCAAGCCACAGAAAGAAAGGAGGCAATCAATATGACCAGCCTGGCAATGGGAAGTGCACAGAGGCAGACCCGGTTTCCTGCTCAGCTAGCAAACTCTTCAAAGCAGACCAGACTCCACTGAATGTGGACAGGTGCCAGAACGGAAACCATTTTGGGGGGGGGATGGGTTGCCATGCTCTGGAACGAAACAGTCACCCACACACACCTTAGAGTCACTCCAGGACACCCCCTTCCTCCAGTTTCAACCCACCCTGCACAGGCAAGTCTTAAAGCCAATAAATAAGCCCCCGTGCAGTACCATGGAGAACGGCTGTGGTGGAGACACAGGCAGGAGATGCTGGGAAGGAAAAGAGACGGCGGGATATTGCACTGACTGGGAGGACGCCTGCAGCCCCTGCACAGACTGGAGGGAAAAAGGCGATCAGGTTACAGGGGAGAGTGCAGTGAAGTCTCACAAAAGGGCTGTCTCCTCTGAAGCATACTGCTGTCCCTGATGAGTCTGTGGCTCAGTGGATACTGACAGGGAAACTGGCCACCCCCAAAAAGTCAAAATCATGCCCAACAGTCGAGCCAGCCTGGAGGGGCCTGCTGCACAGGGGAAGCCTTCCTTTAAGGAGTCACTGGGATACTCTTCATGCTATTTGGGGGGTTATTTCCCAGAACTAGGAAGTAAAGAAGACAATGAATGAGAAGGTTCACCCTAGAAGCCTAACCTGGAATCCTTCAGGTCTCTTTGAACACTTCCATGTGCGGAATTCCCTAGGAATGAAGCCAGTATCTCTCCAAGGAATGTATGAACATTTTGATGGCCTTGGAAAGAACTGATTGCTGATCTCCCCATGGATAAAGACTTTAATGTGGTCTCTCTTCAGGCAAGAGCACTAGGTCTGTTGGCAGTAGGTGAGCAAGATGAAGCCAAGGCCTGGCTGTCAGTAAGAGTTCAGTGTCTTTCCTGCATACATTAAAAATAGCATCTGGGGACCCTCCCTGGTGGCACGATGGGTTAAAGCGCAGCACTGTGAAGCTTTCGCAGCCACTGCAGCGTGAGTTTGATCCCCGGCCAGGGGGGTGCCCCACAGGGCACAGCAGAGCTCTCCTCACTGGCCCACTGCTCCCCTCAGCAGTGTATTCCAGTCCATCTGTCTGTTCTGCTCCCCACTCTGTCTCTGGTGAGTCCTTTCACACCCCCCGCATCTCTGTCCTGTACCCCAGTTCTGTATATATAAGTAAATAAATCTTAAAAAAAAATATAGCATGTGGACTTAAGAAAAACTTGTCATCCATTTCTAGGGCCACATCCTCATCATGTGAGTTGCTAAATGGGGCACGCAGTGAAATTCTCTTGGCTCAGAACCAGAGACTGGGCTGCTAAGTTTTACTCATGAGGTAAAGTGGATGCTTGGTGTCACCAATGAGAAGCATGTCCTTTTCCTGATTCATCTGATTTACACCGAGGGCTATGCTTCCTCTAGAACCCCTCACCTCCCTGCCTTCCAGCCATCTCCTCACCTGAGTGACCAATGGGCTGGCCATCTGTGGCTGTGGTGGCTGGACCTGCTGTTGTGGTTGAGGAGAGGGTTGCTGCTGTGGCTGCTGCTGGGACTGCCCCACCATTGCACTTCGCAGGGGCTGCTGGCTGGTGGGGGGGTTGTATATTGCGGGGCTTCCATCGGGATTCACAAAGGGCTGGCCTGCAGGGAATAGGACAGTGGTAACCCAGGACACCAGAGCCTTCTCCAACATGAAGACTTACATGCGTAGGGCCCACTTGGTGAAGCCAGCTACCGTGTGAGCCCAGAACAAGGTGAGAAGCGCAATGAAGTCAGGCTGCTGCAGGGAGACTTGCTGAGCTACATGCCCCCAAGGACAGTGGCATCTGGTGATGAAGGCCTGTTGACAAGTGGTCTATGCGAAGCCCTGTGTTTTGTCACCCTACACCTCAGCCATCAGCAAGATAATGTGCAGAGAGGAAAGGGCTACTTTCCATTTCTACAACTCCAGTTACAGCGATGTGATTTACCAAGACATTTATTTCACTACATCAGTCTCATCACCAATTCAGAATCACTAATGATCCCATTATATATTATATAAACAGAACTTAACAGGTCCACTCATTCACTTCTAGACTGATGCAGCAAGGATTAAAAGGTGATTTAGATTTTAAATGTAAAGTGTGACAAACTCTTTATAGAATGATTTTGAAATGGTGAAGCAAATACACATTGCTTGCCTTTTGAAACCACATCATTCACTACTATTATTATTGCTGTTATTCTATCACTAATATCACTATTTGAGGCATGTCAATAGAGCATTTTTGAGGAAATAAGGTGTCATCTAAGTCATGAAAGAGGTAATGATGGCCCACCAGCAAAGTCTAGAAATAAAGAGCTTAAGAGAAGATAGTGTGGATGGATAAAGAGAGAGAAAGGGGAAGGAAAGATGGCAAAGGAGTACACAAATCAGTTTTCAAACATCAAGCCTAGTGGAAAGCACTTAACACACATGCCTCGAGGTCTAACAACTCCGGAGATATGTGATCTCATTTCATTTTAGAAGCACAGAAATTAGGGCTCAGGGGATCACACAACTTACTCACAAATAGGAAACATAGCACTGTCAGTGTGACCCCAGTCCCTTCTCCTTGCATTATACCAAATAACTTAGGTGAATTATCCAAGTTTATAGAATGAATACATGGCACAACAAGGCTCCACGAAAAATAATCCAATCATAAATGAAGCTATGCATCAACACACAAGAATTCAGGAGAGTTAGGGGGACATGTTTCAGGGTAGACTCACACTCAGGATCAGTAGATAAAGAATCAGAGCATTCTTCAGGGGAGGAGGAGAGAGAAGGACCAGGACAGGAACGGGGGAGCACAGGGGACAATGGTGATGGGGCCCGGATCACTTGGTGGTGGGGATTTCACGGGGAAACCATACATTGTACAAAAGTGAAGGAAAATATAATAAATATATTTAGAAAAATTAAAAAGAAGAATCAGAGCTTGGGGGGAATGAGCTGTAGGAGTGTTTGTGGGACTGTCTGGAAGTCTCTACTCCCTTCTCTACACCCTTCAAAAGCTCTGCGGGAAGCGGCAGTATGAATGTTTGCTCCTAAGCTGAAGCCATGGAAATATTTCCCACGAACCTGAGCAAAATGCCTGGAGAGAATAGAACTCCCAGAAAGAGCCTGGTGGTTTAGAGAAGGATCTCCCTCATCTTGGAACGGAGGAGCAGGCTGGGCTCTTCACAAACATCTCTCTAGGGCCTCCCCATCCTGAGGTACCAAGGTGTAGGTGAACTCTGACTCAGGCAAGTACATGTGAAGGGCGTGGAAACCAGCCTTCTTCTTCAGTAGTAGATGCATGAAGACAGGCAAAGGTTATCAGTAATATGAGGAAAATTCCCTACCAAAAGGAATAGGATAGAGGGGGAGAATATAAAATCTGACCGAAAGGAAGAAAAACTAGTGAAAAAATATATGGCATACCATTACAGCATTCATAAAATAGAAGATACACAAAACTGACATATGTTAAATAAAACCAGTTACAAATGGACAACTACTGTGTGAAGCCATGGGAATGTCTTCAAAGTAGTAAAACGATGAAACTTTTTAAATTTTTACATTCAAGACAGGCAACATGTATCAATGACAACAGAAGTCAAAACCAATGAGACCTCTGAAGGAAAGTTGGGAGCCTTCTCATGGCCTAGATGTGTTTCATGCCTCACTTTGGGAGTTGTTCTCTCAGGTAAACTCAGGTTACACACCAGCTGTGTGCAGGTCATGCACTTTATTGATGTGTAAGTTAAATTAAGTGATTTGAAATAGGTTGGAACTCAAATGTTGAGGTCACAAGGAAATACTCTCTGGTAGAGAGCAATAAACAAAGTTTCAGGTCAATTAGAAATTGTAGCAGGAGCTCTCCATTCCCATTATCATCAGAAAATTTCAGCCCGAATATGTGTGTGTGTGCGTGTACAGGAAACTTTCCATCCTGCACATTCATGCATATACCTGCCAGAACTGAGGAAGCTGTGCTAATGGTTTCATAATCAATCACAGTATGCTATGATGAAACAGCAAATGTACCAGAATTATATTCACAGAACAATCACTACATTTAGAAAATGTTCTCCAACTGACACTTGTTTTCCTATCATTGCCACTTAATTTTAGCTACTTTTTTTAAAAAAAAATTTAAATTAACTTTCTTCTGGATTCTCTATCTGTAAGCATTTCCCCTCCCCAAACAGCAATTTGGGAAAGGATGAAAAAATAGTTCTATATTCAAAATGGATCAGCCCATTTAGTGATCTGTTACTTAGTTACTTTTGTTTTTTAATTTATATCTTTTAAAAAAAATACAAGAGAACAAGCTTATACTTTTTGAATACTAGGCACTCTAGTATTCAAAAAACAAAATTGTGCACAGCAACCTCATCTGAAACCATTACGGAATCCATCTCACTCTGGGTTTATACACATACACACAGAGAAAATGACCTAAGAAGAATATTTACTATATTCTTTGACGTTGGCTTACTCCACTGAAAACTGAGGAAGTATGAAAAGCGGACTGGCCAAAGGGCAAAAAAACATAACTTCAGAATATTCAGATGTTCTTTTTGATAAATTTTAGATCCTCTGCTTGAATCTTATTAATATGCGGTGGCCCGGAAGACAGAAACACTTCTAAATAATTGCATATGAAAGGACTAAGAATTCTCTTCGGTGGAGGGAGGTGGCAGGGTCTTCTGGAAAGAGAAGAGAGTATAGAAAATTGATTTTTATGCTTGCCAAGAAGCACACAGAACAGAGAGAAGCGAAAGAAGAAGCTGGATGCCAGGAAAGAGCAAAATCCAGGGCAGCTACCAAAGGGACCGCTGGTTTTCAAGAAGGCAATGATTCTCTCTAATCTCTCTATTCTACCTTTTTTTTACCAATCCAGATGCAATTACAAGTGAATACAGGCAATTACTCTGAAAGGCAGCTGCTGAAGACCAAAGGAAAACAAAGGCATTGTTGGCTGGGACTATTCCACTTCAGGGTGCTTTATCTGGGACCCCGTGAGCACACCCAGGGTCCTGCCAGCACCTGGGTTGGCAGAGATGGGAGGCCCCAGTGGCAGAGGTAAGGTAGTGTGGCGTGAGTGGAGCCAGGGCAGAGAAAAGGATTAAATGTAGGAAATGTAGTGCGGTCATTCCTCTCAAACATACAGAATTCTGTGAAAAACTGCTCTTCTGTCCACATTATAAAAATAATGTGTACTAGGGGCCCTCCCTGGTGGCGCAGCGGGTTAAAGCACAGCACTGAGAATCTAAAGCCGCTTCTGCATGAGTTCGATTCCCGCCTGCCCCGGAGATGACCACATGGTGTGGCAGACCTCTCCTGACCCACCCGCTGCTCCCCTCAGCAGTGTACTTCGTTGATCTGCCTGTTCTGTTCCCCGCTCTGTCTCTGGTGAAGCCTCTCACCGCCCCTGAGCCTCAGGCCTGTACCCCAATTCTGTATGCACAAATAAATAAATCTTTAAAAAAAAATGTGTACTAGATATTATTTTGCTAGTATCTAATTATTGAGTCCTTGCCCAGTGACCAAGACTTTGCTTTCCAATCCAGAGAAGCAGTCAAGAAACAAAATACCATTCCTTCCCCACAAAGAGCTTTTCAATGTGTGTTAAGGAAATGAACCCCAGGCCAAGTCAAACTGGACCATATCCTCTTGGTTTCAATCAGCAAAGTGTGTCTGTCATATACCCAGCAGAAGGACATTTAATTAAAAAGGAAGAGAGGAGTGAGAGTTCTTGGCTTGCTTAGTCCTTAGCAGGTGATTAAATGATAAGGGACCTACTGGTTATTCATGGCAGGTGAATGCACGTTTCATAAAGATACGGACTACACACAAAGGCTCCATGGAAGCAGTCTGGATAACGAGATGTGAGAATTCCCGGGAAAGGCAAGACGGGTGGTGTTGTGGGAGCCCACCAGGAGCATTTAAAAGAAAAAAAGCTAGAAGAGACTGCGCCAACTGAAGGATCTGCTGCTCATGGCTCTGGCACCAAACTATGAATTTGCATCAGATGAAGGCAAAAGCAAAATGGCAGACAACAGACAACAGACGGGTCCTTCTGGGATGCCAATGGCTGTCGTCCTCTCTGGGTCAAGGTGTGTTGAAAGAAAGTGGACAAACACAGATGAGCTTCCTGCTAAAATTTTCCAGCAGAAGGCTAAGTTCATGATAGTGGAGGAAGATCAAACTCAGGTTTGCCTTGTGAGGATGAAGATGTTATAGACGGGGACTGTGAAAATGAGGCTCTGTGGCAAAACACTCATCCGGATGCCTGAAAGCAAAGGAAGAATGGCAAGCCATCCTGAGTCATCCTGGCTGAGAGCCAGGTCCAAGGTCAGACAATATAAAAGACTGTGATTGTACTGGGGATCTACAAGACGCTGTGCAGATGCGGCTGGATTCAGTGTGCTAAATATTTGGTACTTAGTATCAGGCCAGTTGTGCTGCCAAGTGAAGCTTTCTTCCATTGATTACATGCAAGCTCTTCAGTACTTTGGTGTCATTGCTTGCCTTTTATCTGTTTAAGACAGATTTTTGATCATAATTTGTGTACCTGAGCCCCACTCTTAAATATAATACATAAAATGAGAAACTGCCCCACTACCAATCACATCACCATATACAATGGGTGGTAGATAGTGTCTCAATAATGTTGAATCATCAAACAACTCTGCCTAAGAGTATTTTGTTCTCTACTCCAGGGAAGTGAAAAAAAAATCTAACCGGAACTCTTCCCCTAAAGATCTCAAAAAGTGTGGATAACAAGGTAATGAAGCCAGAGGCGGTACACACAAAAGTAGCATGTGTTCCAGTTTCCCTACACCCAAACATTCCTGCCACTTCTGTCACGTATTTGGCAGAAAGGCATTAGGCGAAGGTAGAGGATGGTTTAAGGTGATGACAGCAATGAGAAAGATGAGTTCCAGCCTGAATTGCAAATTTCCAGGTGCAACAGTAGAATCTTGTAAGAGATTCGACAGATAAGTGGACATACATGATATGTGTCTACATGTGTACATTATCAACTGACATAAACACCTGGAAAAGAAGAATGAGTCATCTTAAATCTCACCATGCAAGCACAGTACACATATTCACATGTTCACACATTTTTCTTCCAGCCTAGATTTATTTTACTATCTAGCATTTGTTAAGATTAGAGAAGTGTTCGTGGAGAAGCTGTTCAGTGGTGTTAATGGAATCTTTCCTTTAGTTAGGGTCCTTTTTCAAGGATGTATTTTCATAACAATAAATGACTTGATCCAATGAATAAAAATTGGGACTTGGTGCTGACAGCACTTGATTTCTTTTTCTATAAACAAGATTATAGATGATAATATATACATACACAGCCACAATTAGGCCATCGTTGCAAACAACACTCTTGCATTATCCCTAAAAAAATACTGAGCATTTTTGAAACACTGTGATTTTGCTGAAAACAAACCCCTCAAAACTAATGCTAAGTGTATGGTCTGATCTGTAAACCCTCCACTTAAATTTGAAAGAATGGAAGCGGACAGAGTTTGTTTTGATCAGTGCCCACAGTAATGAACATAAACCTGGTTTTCTTTTAATTTCCGTTGGAGAGCTTATAATGATCTAACTGAAGTAAAAGCAATCTAGTATTCTTAAAAATATCTAATCTGAAAGCTTTCAAATGGTTTTCAATGAAATGATTATGTCCCCATCAAATACAATACCTTGAGATTGCACCATATGTTTTCATGAAAATGTGGTAATTATTCAAGTAAGTATTTTACTATCATTTGCCTTTTTCTGTGAATTTCTTAGTTATTAGCAGTACTATATATATGTGAGAAGATTGAGTCAATCGCTTTTACGAGATTTGCATTCAGTTTTACATCTTCAGGTTTAGCTAGTCAGAGAAAAATTTCTGGAATAACTTAAGCTAAGCCACAGACACAGTTTGAAAAAAATTCAACTTCTTAAATAAAGTACTATTTAAGGTCTCTAAAGAAGTGAATGTCAAGCTTCTAACCCAGGGTGTCTTAACCATTGCACTACTTACAATGTCCAGGTTAAACAATCCTTTCTTAAAGAGGTATTGTCCTGGACATTGCTGATATCTTATAGCATTTTTGCTCTTTATTTTCTAAGATGGAGAAGGAGCCCCTTCCTCCTTGATCAGAATAATCAAAACGTCCACAGAATTGCCAAATGACCTTGGAGGCAAGGGCCATATTGCAGTGGTGAGTTTCCCCCATGAGGCTCCCTGAAGCTTCCGCATGACACAGATGTTTATCAGTCTACTGGCTGATGTTAGAAGCTCAATGCTCTGGATCCTTGTGACAATGTGGAAGTTAACTGACCACTAGAGAAATTAGACAGTATACCCAATAGTCATGGAAGATACCATAGTCATGAAGTTACCAACTCTCTAACTTTCCATTCCCCCCAAACTTCTCTAGGGAAGATACCTCTAAAATACTTGAGTATTTGCTCACTGTATTCTCTTAGCCACTGTGATTTCTTATTCTCCAGTAGGTGTTGGGTGAAATAGTAAAATGAGGAAGAAATTTGTATAGTTAAGAAGCTACTGTATTCCAACCAAAGCTCAAGTTTCTTGAAATCTTGGATGCAAAACAACTTTTTACAAAATAATAGGCTACCTGGGGGTTTAGTCTGGAAATTCAAGCTTAACTCGGTATATTCTATTTCACTACTCCATGGTCTCTGGTTTTCGATATGAGACTCACTGCAGTCAGTGCAGAGAGGGTAGAGAGAAAAACAGACATTTCTGGGAAGTAACAGTATTTTTCTATCATCGTTGGTATTAATAGAAAATTATGGAGATCTACATTATAGCTAAGATCTGCTCTTCCTAACTGAAAATCCTACACAGAAGTTCATCCACTGAACACTCAGAAAGTTTCAGAAACTTCACTAGTGAATCCATAAGCTCAAACATAAGAACAAACCTTTGCTCTTGTGTCCCTGCCAAAGCAGAGGAAATACACTAACCTGTGTGTGGATTAAGAAGGATGCTTCCAGGGGGGATGCCTGTTGCAGCTTCAAGTGGAAGGAGGATGTAGCTGGTGCTGCTGGGTGCGACCTGTCCCCCCATTCCATTCTCTGGATAGGGCACACAGCTGGAAGTGGCTGCCACGCTGGAGACCAGGGGTGCACTCTGGAGAGGTGGATGGGTGCGGGACAGCGATCCTGAGGATCCCGCACTACTGGAAGACTCAGAACCTGCCACAGAGGTACAGGTCGACAAGTCATTCCACAGAGACAACAAGAGAAAACAGGTGAGAATCCACTGTTCTGGGTCTATCTAAACGTTTACTTGGATAGAATGCAAGAAAGAATGCGAGGTGAGCACTGCAGGACAAGATTAGTCCTCTCCCCACATTTTAGATCACATTGAATTAAAATATTTGTTATGTCTTTTTCAACGGTGTCAATATCCTAGGAGAAGAGAGATTAAGAATGAACATTTCTTTCAACATTCTCACATGCCAGTAGAGTGGTGTGTGGTAAATGGAATAGCCTGAAGTTCTAAACTCGTGCCTGAATACTCCTGTATTCAGGAGATCATTGAGTGACTGATGCCATGGGAATATCTTACTGAGGAGAACGTCTTACTCTAAGCAAGAAACGTCTGATATGCTGGGGATGGAGGTGACGCTAAGGCTCTGGTTCTCCAACCCATAAAAATGGACTTTGAAGGGGCGTGCTTGTCATCTTTCACCACAGGGGTGAGTGCAACTGGATCATACCTACTGTTGGTGCTTCAGATCTATACTGCATTTCACATAGTCACAGAGATCTTATTAATATGATCAATAGGACATGACCTTTTTTGATAAAGCTCCATCTGGCAGATGGAGCTTCTGCCAGATGACACAACAGGCTAAAAATCAGAAGATTTTTCTGGATAGTGCACTTCTTAAACCCCTAGGTAACCAGATCAGTGTTGAAAAGTCCACAAGGTGGAACATACTCCTGATTGTGTTCCCTCTTCCTCCACTGTGGAAGAAGAAACACCTGCTGCACCCCATAGTCACTGGACGCTAGCTGCTCTTCAATGCAACCAAAGTCAAGCAACTCTAGCACCTTCACCATGGCTGTCCTGGGCTCTGAAAATTAACTAAAGGATCGGGGAGAAAACACAGCAAGTAAAATTCCTACATCTGTAAATTCAAACCAGCAGATGATTTGGATGATGTGAAAGGCACAAGAATGGATTACAAGAAATTTATTAATTAGCCCAGACTTATTGACATATCATTAAAATGCAATTATTCTGTCTCTTTAAAGATCAAGATATATGAGAAATAGTTAACATTTTTCAGATTCCAAAATGCTCCCTTAAATTAAACTGGAGCTCCTTTAAAGCAAGCGTCAGCAATGCAACATTGCTGAGGGGTCACTAGAGAGTGTGTTAATTTCTGAGAAGGTGGATGGTAATATTTATTGAGCACCTAGGATGTAAAAGTATTGGCTATGATATGCACTTTAATAATAAGTGCTATCACCGCCTGTATTGATGGTAAAATTGTAGCATAGAGAATTCAGGTAACCCACAGCTAGACAACAACAGATCTGGGATTGGAACTAGGTCGGCTGATTTAGATTTAACCACGACCTAACACTGCCTCATGCTAGCATGCATGTACACATGCCATGGACTGTTCTTAGCTAGGACTCTTCTCAGCTGCTGTCATGACTTGCTATCAATAATGATAAGTTACATTTTCATTTAGGATGCTCCATCTAACTAATGTAAAATGCTGATGGGATTCTTAATAATGAATAGGCTGAAAAATAATCTCAAAGGAAATTTGAAAATGTTCAGCGTCATTCTGAGATTGCATCACTGACATTTCGACCTTGAAATCAGATCTCCAGGGCAAACTGTAGTGTGTTCAGGGACTTGTTCTGTATGACTTGACATGACAGTCCAAATATACCCTAGTACAGTCAACAGAAACAGCACAGCAATAGCACCTCAAAAGCTCCCCGCATCAACACCCTTAGGGTCATGCAAAACTCATTCCACCTATTTCCAGGTTGTGCGGGTAGATGGTGACAAAAAATCTGAATGAAGGAGGTGTGTCTTAACTGTGACTGGAGGTCGGGCTAGTGCCAGCAGATGCTCCTGTGCACAATTTCTGAGTGGGGCGAGGCACAAAGCCTGAAGTGTCACGTCTAATCCACAGAGTAATTTAAATTTGGTTTTCAGAAGGTGGTCGTTCATCATTAGTTTGCGGTGACACTCCCTTCTATCAGCGAGGGATTTTTTGTTTGTTTGTTTCAACAGGAACAAAAAAAGAAGACAAAGGAAAAACAATATCAATGATTTGATTCTACAAGTTAAGAGAAGGAAAGCTAAATTTGACTGGAATACTCAACATTTGCTAAGATGCAGACAAAATCAGATACCCTCAGAGGGACCTCAGCTGAGTTGGGGTGCTGGGGCTTCTGGCTGGGTTATGCCCAGCTCTCGAAATGTCAGACTTAGAATCAGGTGGATCACTATAGTCATATCCTGCACGATTTGAGATTCTTAATTAAAAACAGAGATGAGTGATGGTGACAAAGGCCCAGGTTGGGATATGTTCGAAGACGTAAAAAATGAAACTGATATTTGGGAACTTGACTATTTTGGGTCCTGAGAGTTAAAATATTTCTGGTTTCCTTTTTCAAGGACTTAATGAGAGCAATGGGAAATATTTAAACAGTATCTATGTGACAAGCACTATGCTAATCATGCTATATGAATTAGTGGCTCTAATTTTCACAGCAACCTCATTTTGAAGATGAGAATTGATCCTCAGAGACCTTCAGTACATTTCCCAGGCACATGTAGTGTGCCACATCCAGATGATGTGGCTCCAGGATCACGTGCTAAGCCTGCAAGCAGGTCACATTTTGCCCGGAGTCACTCAAGAGACCAGAGGGCAGAGCCCTGCCAGGTCTGTGCCAAGTTCTAGGAGCTGCTGTCCAGAACGTCCATACCGCTTCCTAGGGCAGGCGCAGAGGTCAAAGTTGCCCAGGAGGGCAGGTTGGCATGTAGGAGAGGAAAGCTGTGAGACTGTGGGAACACTGGCGAGAAACATGAAAAGGCAAAAGGAGAAAAGGGGGGGGGAATTGGAAAGGAGATCAGACAGCAAAGCAAAATGAGAAGCCAAGAAGAGACAGGATAGAGGGGCAGAGCACAAACTCCCTGGCAGGAGGGAGTGTTTTCTCCAGTTCCCCAGAGAGGAGGTGTTCTGAGCTGGGGCCTCAGGTCTGCCATTAACTAGCTGTTTTCTTTTGGAAGTGACTATTTCTTTTGACCTCAATATCCTCATTTGCAAAACATCAGTCATCAGGCTCATTGTGAACTCTATTGAGAAGGAACCGAAGTTCTCCTCAGCTTGAGAAAACTCCAGGCTAGCTTCTTTCAGACCACTGAACTTGACCTTCCTTTTCTTACACATTTCTGTCCCCTGAAGAGACAAATCTTCCAAGTCTCTCAGCCAGGTTTATCAAAGGACGTGGGCATCATTAAGAAAAACAGCGATCTTTAACCCGTTTCTATGGGAGTCTGACTTAAATCACACCAATTAGCAAATACAGATGGCTTAATCAAATTGGAGAATCACCTCTCTTACACCCTCCAAAACTGTTATATCATCTCACTGCAGCACTTGAAGCTGCTCCTGCTCTTGCTTCAGTGAGGTTGAGTTCCATCTCTCTCCCTCATTGCTAAATATTCTTGACCCCATTGCAATAGCTAAAAATAAAGTCTTTATTCATGTTTAGTTCCTCCAATGCAATATTTCTTTCATAAGGTCTTTGAACCATAAGTATTTCCCCCCTGAATCAATAATTCAATAAAATGCTTCCAGTGTCAAGGGTCAGATTTCTGTAAAGGAGCGTGAAGCTTCTGAGGTTACAGAAGAGGAGAACAGCCAGGATGCAATAGTGTAGCCCTGAGAATTAACATGAGGAAGTGGAGGCAAGACACACCATCTCTTGCGTCAGTTCCCAAAATCCTCTAGACAATGATAGTGGCAGTAATAAGAATCCCCTTGTGAAAAAAAAATACAAGGGCACATATAATGATTAACATGAAATAGAAGGATATCTTATTTTTCTAGCACAGTTGTTCTCAAACTGTGATTAGGAAAAAAAAAAAAAGTAATCTGTGCTTTACCAAATCTTTAAGTGATTCAGTTACACTCCAGTTGAGACCCTCTGCTCTGGAGTACAGAAAAGAGGGATGAAAATAAAATCAGATTTTCTGATTAGTTAGTGTGGTCTGGGAGAGATGGCATGTTCCTGTTTCTAACGGCTACCCCCAAGAAGCAGCTGAGGTGACAAGGTGAGCCCTTGTCAACCCTCTTCACAAAGAGCTGTCAGGGCCATATACCTTCAAAGGTGTGTGCAAGCATCTGCCAGGTGACCTGGCCGTGCTAAGGGTGGGTCATCAAACAGCAAAGAGCAAGGCCTTAGAGACTGTGCTCAAATGCTCAGACCTTAGGAATGTGCTCTCCCCAAAATGTGGGAAACATGTTTTCCACCTGGAAAAACTCTCCTGATTATCTATTTAAAGCTAGAAGCTATGCAGTTAGAGGAGGAGAAGAATAACTTACATGTCACAACTCCAGGCTCAGTTTCTGAAAGGTCAAAAACAAGTTTGCTATTCTACTGTGAACAATGAGATAAAAAATCGGGAACTTGTGCTGTTCTGAAGCTCCATGACAGCAAAACTGACAGCTTTGCTTCATAAAACCATCTTAGGAAACTGTAAGTTTGTTTTGACATCCTATCTTGAGCTCCTTTAAATTTTTTCTTTTTGCCTTCCATTCCTGTGCCTTGACAAGCTTTCAGGTGACGACAGGACACTTAGATTTAAAGAAAAAAGAAAAAGTCTCAAGCACTTACAGTTTCTAATCATTCTTCAAAGAACATGGCATTTTAGCATTCTTGAAGTGTTTAAAATGTTTCCAAAGAGCTTTGCTTTGGAAGTGATTGGGGGCTGGCACATGGAAGATGACGATTAATTTAAAAATCTTAAGAGCTCTTTTGGTGTGCTGGAATTTTTAAGTGCACCATTTAAAGTACTTGGTTTCTGCATTTTAAGGAGATTTAAAACAATTTAACCTTTCATAGTTTACAAGAGCTCAAGTATACCACAGTGAATTTTCTTGACTTCAGTTGCTACAATAGTGGAATATGAGAGCAATTAATTAGAGTCTGAAATCAAGAACTTACCCATTGGTGAATAAAAATGAAAGAGACAGTGTGAGCCCATCCGAATCTTTCCAGAAAGATTCTATATAATTCAATATATAACGTCGTGGCTGTGACTAAATACCATTAATTTTCTGACTATGTAGCAAAACATGAGCTAATTTCTTAGGAAGCATTTATCAACAACATAATTATATTAAACCATTAGCATAATGAGCCTAGATTTTGCAAACTCCCCCCTAGTGTGAGTACACAGTTGGCTGGGAAAGTGTATACAGTCTAGGACACCCTCCGGTTGAGAGTGTCCATTCACTAACCCCTCCCTCTACCCCAGGTCCAAGCTTGCACCACCAGCAAATTCCGCCTCCAAGGGCAATTTATTGAACTGCCACCCTTGCAGAAGCAAATTGAAATCCAAATGCAGTAATTAGAGTCTAACATCACAAAAGTAAACTCATGGAGTACTAGTGAATGGTCATCTGCCTTCTACCTGGGATTTCATGAGGTGCTTTAATTATGAATATTTGAAATAATTTGCAAAGAAAAAAAGGCGAGAAATTCTTGGGAGATGGGAGAGCTAGGAATGGCAGATGAGGTGGTATTTGCAAACTGTATATGATTCCCATGTTGTTTAGGCTTTGATAATTTAAAGTTGTTTCAAGGTAATGATCCTCCTGGATTCCTCATCAACACCTCAAGACTGTCCACAATCTTGAACTACCAACCTCAGAAGGTTATCAGTCACTCAGAAGCAAAGGGAAATAAGGCAGGGAAAGTAAATGCATGCACTTGGGAACTTTGGGAACTCAAACCTCTCTGCAACTCAAGTCCCTATCTGCCAGGGATGGTAACACTAAATGGCAAGAACAAAAATAACAAAAAAATCTGCTATTTGTTGAAGGCCTGTATACATGAATTCAATCTTCAGCACAATCTTATAGCATAGGTACTATCACTATTCCCACTTCTTTGATGAGGAAACTGAGTCATACATAAGTTAAATAACTGGCCCAGGTTCACATTAACTGCTGCTAAAGCAGTTAATTTATTAAATTATTAATGTTGTAATTACCTTACAATGTAGTCTTAAGGAAAAATTGTACTATTAAATTAAACACTAATAGTTGACTTTGGCTACATAGTTGCCATGTATATGTGCCATGGAGGTCATGTTTATATAAGCGATAACATGTTAACCTATAATGGTCTATTGCCATGGGTTAGAGTTCCATTTTGTTATAACCTACGATTTATCATTAAGGAAACTGAAGTTTATAAATTTTAATAATTTGACCTAGGTAGAGAGCTGGCAAGAAGCAACACTGATATTTTCATGGCACTCTGGCTTCCCACCTATCCCAGTGATTAATACCATTATTAAAAGTTCACTGCAGTCAGAGGAAACAGTGAGTGTAGCATGAACAGCACAAAACATGACAAGACATAAACCCATTCAGTGCTAACTACCTGCTTTGGATAGCTTCCCAGTGCTCCTCGTACTGGAGGTGCTGTCACCCCGGGTCAGCACCGTGATGCCCCCAAAACTTGCCGTCTTGGTCATGGTGGGCTTGAGATTGCGGTGGGAGCTGTCGGAGTCCGTGCTGCTCCAGGCCCGCTGGTGGTCAGACCACTTGAGTTCGTTCTCTGAGCTGCTCTGTCGACTCCCAGATGTTCTCCCTGAGCCATCTCTGTTGCCCCTGAAGCACGGCCATCAGAAAGATGCACAGGGACAGGGTTACATTCCATGAACAATGTGGGCAGAGAGTGGGACCTTTCTTGGAAGAGTGGTCTACATAGACCCTGTCTGTCAACCCTTTCCTTTCAACCTGTTGTCTCCCAAACAGTGCCACAAATGCCTCATTGATGTATGAACAGATAACACATCACACAGAACACTCATGTTACAAACAGGAAAAACCAAGCCTTAAAGAGTCACCCAGTCTCTGCCAATGAAGGAGAAGCAACTTGGAAAATATGGTAAAAAAAAGTTAATTTCCCTCGTGGAGAAGAGAGGGGGATCAACTGTGACCCAAGTCAACCCTGAACCAATGTTGAGAAGCAGTTACGATCTTGAATGAGACTAAAAGCAACTCCCACGGGAGAAGACTTTTGGCTCTCCATTTGTAGGAAATAATTAAATGCCATGTGTATTCTGGGTAGGGAATGTATACAAATCCAGATAAATTACTTATTAATTTACTTTCTAAATGAATTACTATCAACCATATGAGCCATATATTTGAACTTTGAAGGACAGGGCAGAAATCATAGAAATTACTCTGTTAATCTATATTGAGAATTTTGCTCTGTGACTTAACCTTCATGGGCAGAGGAAAGGCCCTTTCATCCTTTTCACAGAGAAGAACTGTTGATAATAACAACAACTGTGTAAACACTACACTGACACGAAACTTCCCAAGGGGACTCAAAAAAAGCCCCATAGGTGAAAGAACATTTGTTTGAAATTCAAATATAAAGAGAGGGAGTATGCTGGAAGAGATCCAATAATAGCCAGAAGGGAATTTGAAAGATGCCAGGGTGTCTGTAGGTAGTGTGTAAACTTGAGAAAGTTGATGAAATTTGCATTTTCATTGGTTTCCAATCTGCTTAAAAAATAACTTGGTATTTTCAAGGTTTTTTTTGCAGCTGGAAATAATGCCTCATTAACATACTCTAAAATTCTCCTGAATTATAAATAGGTGAAGAGGACACAAATTGTGGAAAATAGATATAAGTCCTAATTTTGTATCATTATGTAGTGGAACATTCTCTAGTCTTGACCCAAATCTCACAGATGTGGTCAATGGTTTTGTTAGTAAGGTTCTTTGAAAGAACACAGAGGACTATTATGATATGAGAATGAACTGATTGCTGATAGAAACACCAATCAAATTTTACAGAAAAGACAAAATTTTAGGTTTTGCTTTGACCTTACTTCAATTTACTTATTTTTATGTCATGAAATCTGTCTTTTTTTTTTTAACTGAAGTACCATGGTGAATCACTAACACTCAAGGTGTTTGTGTATTCCATTAAATTTACCACTACAAGTCCAGTTGGATCATGAACATGAAAGAGCTAATCTGTGATATGGACTGTGTAAAGTAAGGACAGAGAATAGAACAGAGAACTCACAAGACAGAAACACTAAGTCCTGCTGTCTCCATCAGTGCTTTCTTACAAACATTCTCTCTGTTCTCAATACCTCTGGGATGTCTAGTGTCAGAAGTAAAGACCATCTAAAAAAAAACACCAGTTTGCAAATAGGAAGTGTTAGGAGACTTTCGTTCTTAAACTTTAAAATTCCAGAAAGCCCAGGAAGTAGGGTTTAGAATAACTAGCCCGTTCCAGGACCTGACACTCCATTCCTGATTGTTCTCCCTTCTTCAAACTCAAATCCATTCTTCCCCTAGATATCTGTGATTCTTTCAGCCTACATTTACCAAAGCCTGGCTAAGCCATGTAGCAACTGTGAATACCAGGGATCTGACAATCATCAAATCTATAGATAATCTTGGAAACTTGTCATAGGAAGAGGTTTGGGGGCGTCCCCAGGCTCAGCACACAGGATGCTTCAGAAGGAAGCTATCCGATACCACTGATCATCACTAGTTCTGCTCAATTATTCCTCTCTTTAGGAACACAGACTTCCTCTGAGTGACAGTGTGGCTGACCCTTTCTCTGCAATGTGTTGGCACCACTAGTCTTGGGGTGCTGATCAGAGTGCTATAATTGCACCTTCACCCTGGTAGAGAGGTTTCTAAAAACGGGGGTGGTTCCTCTAGACTTCTGCCACAGCCCCTGACTGATCATGTACACAAGTTTTACTTGATTTCACTTACAGCTATGCCACCAGCATATGGTAAGATCTGTACATTCATAAAAAATGGACTTCAAGTTGCTGCATTATAGAGTTGTATTCATGAAATTCAAAATCATATTTTATGATTGCTAGATATTTAAACATGGAAACAGTATTGTTAACTGCTCAATATATTGAGCAAATATATACATATAGAAAGTGAGATCCAGACTTGAATTTCCTATCTTTGGGTGTGTGCAATCAACAGACATCATAGAAACACACGCCCACCAGTGCCATCCCATACCGCAGAACCCACTCTGAGGTATGCTGGAACCCAGAAAAACAATGGCAATGAGAAGTTTGGCCATGAAGGGGCGCTGCCTCTCTTGTATGTGACTTACTGGATCCCAGAGTAGTATAAAGCCCGGACTCTAAATTTTTTCTCTGTTGATAAACTTAATCACATTCACTTCCATTCATGTCTGAACATGGTATTTTTTAGCTGTGGTATTAGTTAGCTATGGCACATACTTTAACTTGCTTTTATTGTTGTGTGGATGGCGTGTGTTAAGTCATCTGCCTGAGTTTCTGTGCCTGGTGTTGGTGAGGGAGGCATCCATACTTGGGACGGCTGATCTGAGTAGGTGGTAGCTGTAGTTAGGGTCCAGATTTGGGTCTATGCAAAACTAACTGGCTTCAATAAGGCAAGAACCCATATGTTATCTACATTGACCTAATCAAACCATGTGTGGCATGTGACTGAGGAGTACTAGTAAATTCCAGTTATTCTCTGGGCTTGCAAGGGGAAAACATAAGGTTATTTACTTAATTTTCATGTGCAAAAATGTCTAATGGATAAGAGGATGATATCAGATTGTGTAATTTCATCGAGAAAAATGAAGGAAATTTTTTAAAAGTCTATGATTTTGCTTCTTTCAAAGTGTAAAGGAAGTAAAAAGTCACTAACTTTTCTAATGATGACATACCAAGTTAAAATGTTCTGTGACAAGATACTGTCTAAGCATTCATGCATTTATTTTTCTAGGTATTTTCTTTCTTCTAGGTAGACAAGAAGTTTTTGTTTGTCTTGTCTTTCCTACAACAAAGATTAACCTTAATATTCACAAAAACCCTAACGTGTTAAATTATATTTGTTAGGTAATGAGTATGTGTATATATGTTCTATATATACACATACATAAATACACTGTGTATCTTTTGCCCTATAATGGATGCTAAAGATACATTAATAGAGTTGTAAGAAATAAGTATAGTCCCCTTCCTCTCATGGAATGTTTACTTTTCTAGTCTAGCATAATATATATACACACACACATATATACACATATGTATATATGTATATGTCTTATATACCACCTATATAACATTCCCCTTATCCTACATAGATCTTGATTTAAGTATTTCATTATAATTGGAAGCAATCCCATATTTTCTGCTAGAAGTAAAGTCTGTGCTTGAAAAAAATCACTTAGAAATGTTATGATGGATAGTAGTGGCAAAAAATCAGCCTTTCAAATGGAGTTATCATTGATTTGTTTTCTAGTGCTGGGAATGGATATACAATTGCAGCTTGCCAGAGAAATTTTAACTTGGTGTAGTTTACAAAAGTTGATTTGGGAATGTTAAATCAGTGTGCTGCCAAAGTTAGCCCTTGAGGGAAGAAAAAAAAAAAAAGTGGAAATCAAAGGGAGAGCCCTAAAGTATTATAAACAAAGTAATGTTCTTCTGATCCTACATCTCACATTATCCAATAGAGCATCAACACTAGCTCTATTAACAACCTCCACAAAGAGAAACCAAACATATTTTATTGGATGAACAGATATATTTTACACTAATACACTTATATTCAACATTGAATCTGCCACATATCTGAAAACACAGTTTTAAAAAAATAAACCATACCAACCGAAAGAGCAGTCTTTTCTTATAGGTCTCATTGCATATGTTACTGTCTTCCAAGAGCCTACTGTAAAGAAAAACATGGTTTTTATGATATAAAATCTAAGGATCCGTAATACCCTATGTTAAATGGATGTGTAGCTTACTATATAGAATACCTGTCTTGTAAATTAAACCCACACACTATATTTTATTTGCATGGTATTGTATTTTGCATTAATAAATTGATGGCAACAAGATTTTACCCTACTCTAGGATAGGCACTAACACTAGATAAGAGAGAAAGATGGGAAGAAGAAATAGATGGCATGGAAGAGAGACTAAAAGAAATTGTTGCAATATATTAGCTATTTAATGATAAATATTGTGATTTTTTTTCTTTAAACACTATTAAATTTTTTTGTTTATTTTTTGAGCATAGTGGAATATTGACATTACAAGGGAAGTAACCAAGACACTTTTATAGGACACCCACTTTATTAGATTTTTACTTGTTTAGGGACCATCAAGAATTGCTGTATGCATGTCAGCAGCTATGGTATTAATGAATATAATTCAGTTTGAATACAAGGGACATTTAAGTCCATTATCAGTCTTTTTAATATAAAACACATATAACAGAATAAAATCATTGAGTAAGGTATAGAAAATTACTGTCTGGAAGATTAGGGAATGTTTCCCCTTAAACTGAGTTACAATTGCTATTTATCTTTTAGAGAAGAATGTAGAATGTTTGAATGATTCAGACTTATCCCTAAGATGCTACTGCTCATAGATTCTTCTTCTTTTTTTTAATTTAAAGATTATTATTATTTTTTTAAATGCAGACAAGAACTGGGGTGTAAGTCAGAGGTGTACTGTGCATGTGTGTGTGACAGAATTCAACAGAGAGAGTGGGGAACAGAACAGGCAGATCTACTGAAGGGTATATCTGCTGAGGGGAGAACTGGGCAAGGTAGAGAGGTCTGTTGTGCCATGTGGGTCAGCTCCCTGGCCAGATTTCGAACTCATGATGCAAGCAATTACTGAAAATAGCTTGAAGGCGCTCCGTCTTTAACACTTGCACCATGAGGGAGCCCTGCTCATGGATATTCTAGAGAATATTTATCTCTAATATTTAAGTTTTGAAGTTGTTTTTGCCTTATGTGAGCTTGTTTTCTAATTTTATCCATTCTCAAGACAGTCATTCAGTTGAGGGGTTACTTGAAGAGTTCTGTTAATATTAATGATGACTATTTAAAAGCCATCATCTCTAAAACCCAGTTTAAATGTCTCTAACTATGGGACATCTTACTCAATTTCCATTTTAACCAGTTTTTTAATATCTATTTTATCTATGCATGTAAGAACTGGGTTGTAGGCCAGAGGTATGGGGAGGTGAGAGGATTCACCAGAGAAAGAATGGGGAATAAAACAGACAGGTCAAGGAAGTACATTGCTGAGGGGAGCAGTGGATACGACAGGGGAGGTCTGCTATACCATGTGTGTCAGCTCCCTGGCTGGGGATCAAACTCATGCTGCAGCTGCTGATAGCTTCATAGTGCTGAGTCTTAACACCTTGCATGACCAAATAGGTCCCATTTGATTCAATTTTATGGGGGACACTCTATAAGTCAATACCTAAAAAAAAAAAAATCAGCCTCCATATTTTTAATGGCTACCATATTTCCAATATAAGTTGCTCATTTTGATGCATCGTGTGATAAATACAGCTGATGTGGAATTCTTCAATTCTCTTTGAAACTCTATTACTAAATATATGGAGGTATTTTTAAGAGTATATCTTAAATTTGAAAAATGTCTGCCCTTATATTCAAGTCATTGCATCACTTTAATAAGCCATCATTCACAACCACCACCTCCTACTCACTCCCCAGCTAGGTGTACTACTAAATCCAGTTGTGATAACATTTCCGAGTTAGGCCTTTTGTGAAGGCTAATAGTTTGCTTAGAATGAGGAAATTATAATAATGACTCAAGTCATTATCTGTGTAGCTATATATAATTATAGGGCACAGGAAATTGCTAACAGTACTAAATATATAAGTACTTTTAGTAGTCTATTCAATAAGCCAATGAAACTGCAAGTTCCTAGATGCTGTTGACATTTATGCTTATTAATGCCTGGTGAAGGTAACAGGAATTGCATCTTTGGGAGGACCAGAAGTTGAGACTTTAAATAAGAAAAAATATCTAAACTTATGGTTGAAGGTAAGTGAGAGAACATTTCCCCAAACTAGTTCTTAGACATGCTTAATTGCATATATGTGTGAACACATAGATATATGTATTTATGTATACATATATTCAAGTCACACACATATATGGGGGAATATATGTATCTATGAATATACAGGACACACATGACAGACTTTGTTCCTCCAAAGACATGAAAAAGCAAATTTCATTTTACCTGTTTTCCACAAAAAGGCTTTCCTGGGAGCAAACTGACTGAAAAATAAAAGAAGGCATTGTATCAGACGTTCTGGAGATGCTGAGGGATCCCAAAAGCTTGCCTTATTTTAACACTACTTTTCCCCTCCAAGAGGAAAAGAATGCAGAAAAATAGATACCATTTTTAGAAAAGTGGAAATAAAACAGGGAAAAAGTAAGTTAGAGTTATGAACCATTGTCATGCAGTATACAGTACTTTTCCATCGGGACATCTCCAGATTTCACAGACTTAGCCAGCTCAACAGCAAGGTCAGGAGAAGAGAGATGTGAATGAAACATGTGACCAGCAGCCTCTGAGGTGGCAACTCCCTCAGAGGCTGTGAAGATACAGCCATCAACAAGGGCTAAAAGGACAAGTTCAAATCATGGCAGACCGTGCAACCTTGGCACGCCGCACCTGAGGCTGGGCAAGCAGGAAAGTCACCATTGTGAGCTTGTTGCCTGGCAACCACAAACTCTCACGAGATTGACTGAAAGACTACTAACATTGAAGTATGCCATCAATCATTAATCTTAAGTGTGTACAGGGAGGGGTAGGGAGAAGACAGGTGAGAACAAGAAAAAATGGTAAAGGTGTCAAGGTCCATCTAAGATTTTACACTCAAAACCAGTGTCTTCTTAGCTTCCATTTCCCAAGCATTCATTTATCTACTATCTTGTAGATACTATCTTGTATTTCATAGGTAATACAGGGAATAGAAAATCATTACATGCTGGGGAAAGGCAGAGTAAATTAAACTTTAATAAGAAACAGTAAAAGAGAAGTCTAAAAATATGGTGGAACAAGGGTCTGGTATTATAGTGACTGAGATTAGGTATTAAAAAGCCATTTTCAAAGAACTACATTTCTAAACATAAATATGGATACCAGTCTATATGTGTGGATTTTCTAAATGATAAATAAGTGATCTGCTAAGTGGATATATAAAGACTTAACAGATCCACTGGAAGATAAATGCAACTAAAGAAATAATAATGACCTTTCAATAACAAATCTTTGAATTAAGGAATGTTGCTAATATAACTACCGCTTAGAAAAAGACAAGCAGGATATTGATTTCTCTTTACATTTTACTTGAGAAATCATTTCCTTCTTTTAAGCCAAAGGGCACAGATGGGCATAATGTTTTCCTCAGTGGTTTGAGCATTTCAGTGAGGGCATCTCTTAGAAGCATTTTTGTTTTAACCTTTGTGCTATGAATGTGCATCCTGAATAGCAAAGAAAGCGAGGTTGTCTCAGATACACAGTGTGAATCCAGTACTTTGCTACCTTTCAACTCTTGTCATTGCAAAGAGGTCAATCAAGTTTATGATGTTCTAACAGGGTATTAGAAATACTCTACTACTCCTTTGAAAGAGTTGATCAAAGACATATTGACCTCTTTGGACTTGTTAATCTAAAAGCATTCAGGGCAAAATGAAGTTGCCCAAACTCTTTGAATTAAAAAATAAGGCCCCTGCAAGTCAAATACAACTTTGCCCAAAGGTATTTTCAGAAGGTTTCTACTTTTTATAAAAAAGTCCCCAAAAATCATCCCATCATTCCTCCACATTTTCATAAATAAGACAGACACAGTTATGGGTTATGATTCAGTAGCTGATGAAAATAAACTTTATAAAAAGTAATATTAATAACTTGCAAATTTTAATAGCAGAGAAAGATAAAATTGTCACAGTAATTAAGAGCAGCATTCAAAGCTGTCACTTATATGGTTTCTTAGATATAAAGAGCTCATTTTTTTAAGGAGAAAAAAAGATTTTGCCTAATGGGTTACAGAACTCTCTCCCACATCCCACCCCCAAGCCAGGTGACACTGTATGCCCTTGTTATCAGTTATCACTGAGTAGGAATCCCAGTACATGCCAAGGAGACTGGAGATGAGTCCCCTCCTTGAATCCCTATCTCTACCTAAATATCCTTCAGGAATTATTTCCCAGGCAGAATACGTCTTTTTCAAATATATTGCTTTATCAACTATCAAGCTGGCAACATTGCATAAGTTGAAGTTCATGTCAAAGGAAACACTGATATAATTTAATTATTTCTGACTACAAAAATGCATTTAATGTTTGAGAACTACATTGTTGTATGCACTGAGTTCCAACAATGTAGTTCTAAAATGAGAAATCTGTATTATCTTAAGATACCAAAATTCTCAACCTACATTTGAAATTTTATTTGAAAATCCCCAAATGGTCCACATGTTTTGATCATGTACCTACACACAAACACATACACATACACACCTTAGACATCCACAAGCATTATAAAATATCCAAAATCACTTCTAATCTTAAAATATTCTGAATTTTACTAAAATGAAAATACTAGGAAGTATTTCTTTATTGTAACCTAATAGGAAAAATTCTACTTAAGTATTTTGAGCCTACTCAGATGATTCTCTCAATGAAACCACAATTGTCAAAGAAAGTCAGTTCAATCACCTCCATTTTCAATGATGAAGAAACTAAAGCCAGCTAAGCAAAGATATCTATGACTTAGTTTCCTTATGCTGGATTCTTTGCATTTGCTTTAGCAATCAATTACTATAACTTTAATTATTATCTTCTGTACCTCAACATTTTAGGAATGTAGAGTTACAGAGATGAAGCTGTTTTTGTGTAAATGCTAAGGAAGATGTATGACCATATATAAGAAAGTTCATATAGCAATGCCGTGTCTTTGAGTTTGTTATAACTAGATATATAATATCGTGTTAATGTAGAGTCCCCTCCAAAGATCACTACCTATTGTTTTTTTATAACCTTGTCTTCTACCAGGTTTTTACCAAACTGTGTCAACAAAACACAGTAGAAGGAAAGGCACATAACTTCTATGTCTATGTTACAAAAGACTGCGCATCTTGAGTCTTCTTGTTCTGTCTTGTTCTCTGCATTGGGGAAGCTTGATAACAAATAATGAAGACATTATATGGACTAAGAAGGGAACTGCATACTGGGACATGAGATTAACAGTTTATCACCAGCAAGAAACTGAGGTCCACCAACATGAGTGAATGTGGAAGCGGGTCACCACTCCATCAAGTTTTCAGATGATTGCAGCCCAGCTGACAGTTACCTCATGAAAGAACTCGAGCCAGAATCAGACAGTAAAGCTACTGCTGGACTCCTGACTCACAGAAACTGTGAAATGAGAAGCATAGCATTTTGGTTTTAAGCTGTCAAATTCTGGGGTAATCTGTTATGTGCCAATAAGCAGCTAACACCTAGAAAATACAGTGTGGGTTGCATCTCTCCAGGTGAGTTATGCGGAGTTGGGAGACAGACACTGGGCATTTTTGCTCTTTCTAAAAGAGCAACAGCCTTTGAAGGGTCATGAAAATGTGTAAGAAATGAGATTATAAACAATAGAGGGAGGGCTTTTCCTTAGAAAAATGCATATGTGCTCATGGGCATAATATTTTGCATATGATTTAAGGGATTCTTTTCATCTCTGAAATCCTATGAATATCCTCTGGGTTCAGGCTACCTATGAGAAATACCTCATTGTGGGACTTCGGGTGATCAGTGCTAGATACCCCACTTGAAGTAGCAAAGCTTTAAGTGTGTGCTGCTGAGACATAGCATCTCTAAGAATTATGTCATGGGATAGAAAGGCTATGGCAACAGCTTGGCATTTAAGCTTTCTCATATTTAAGATAGTTTGTAATTAAAAAAAAACATTAATTAAATAGAGGTTTTTAGCCTCTATTCCAATTTTTAGCCTGGTACCCAGGTTCCTTACAGCTAACTCCCTGATGGGCTCATCAGGAAAAAATGTGTGAAGGAAGCCAAGCTGCCCCCTTATCCCTGTGCTGACCTACCTATGGCCATGAGCATCTGTAAAGGGAGGATGGCAACAGGTGTCATCCTCATCACCGGCAGCCACTGGTGATGCCATTTTCTGTCATCTAGCCCTATGGTGATGTGGCACAAGTTTGAACAAACACAGCTAGTATTTTTACATTAACTGAATGAGTGTTTTGCTTTTCAACATAACATTTAGCAAGTCACTCATAAGTTATATAGAACCAAAGAGGGAAAATGTGTTTTTTTTTTTGGGGGGGGGCGGGAAGAGCAGAAAGAGAAGAGGTAGGGGTGAATAAAAAAATTATATGAATTGGTGAATTGGTCTTCGGAATAATTTTTGCTCCATGATGGTCATGAAAAGAAACTGTCTACCACCCAGCCAACTGGAGACATCTATACACTATCAGGAGTAGAACAGGTCCTCTTATCACTTCATTTTTCTATCCACAGACACAAGTTAGACTGCCATGAGTCAGACTGTACCTTGCAATATCGATAATTCTCAACATAATAAATATCTAAGTAGCCCATATGTCTGTAGAATAATCTAGAATTGTATCCAGACCTCATCAAACTGTGTTTGCTTCCACTTCCTTCTTTCAGGTCAACCTTGGAATCTCTCAGATTCCAAAGCTCTGGCCCAGATAATTCAATTATCCAAAGTATGTTTTGTCACACTTAAGAAAGGTGTAGAAGATCTAGAAACAACCATGAAGCCAGTATAAATGTGAAAGAAGTGCAATGCTGAAGGTTTGAACTTCCTCTGCAGCTTCCTATTAAAGGGCCCAACATCAGCAAGAGGGTCAGGGACATTGAATTGGACCTGGAGGCTCTGGGACAGCAGGCTGCTCCATGCTGAATTCCGAAGCCTTGCTGATGGCCAGGTTGGCTTTGTAACAGCCTCAGGATTAGGCTATCACAGGAGTTTGATGCCCCAGCTCACTCTGCAAACAGGGAGGTGTTGTCTGCCTACCCAAAAGAGTTCACACCTCTGCTTCTGCAGAAGGGAGAAATCTCAGTGACTTTAGGGGCTAGGGGCTGCTAAATGATTTTATGGAATGGGAAAGCAATGACAATAGTATGCTTTTGTTTCGTCTTCTTGCACAGAAACCCAGTTTTTTTTTTTTTTAGCACACGTTTTACTTTTTATTTAACTTAATTTATATTTTATTTTGACAATAGTAAGTAGGGAAAAGGATAGTAAAAGCTCAACTGCATGCTTTATTGGGATTTGAATAAAGATTGTTTTATGATGACTTCCTTGGCAAATGGCCCACAGACCTGACTTGGTGAAACTGAAGGGGCACGGGAATGTTATTACTTAACATTGATATAATAAAATGTTCTTACTTGCTACGAATGCAGAAATTTCTCTCTTCCTCTCTGTGTGTGAACAACAGACTGAATTATTCTTTCCTGTGAACACTGTTGGTTTTAAGGAGACAGAAACATGGCAATCTGCTGCCTCACACGGCCATGAAGCTGGTTCTTCTCAAGTCTGGCATCATCTCTCTGTATTCAAAGCCTATTCCGCTGACAAAAATGGTACCTTTCTTCCTCCACAAGTCATAACGGAGGGACTCAAGCAAACCCTTGGCTACTTTTCCATCACTTCCCTGAACGAGGTCCTCTTCCAGAAACACCTCTAGTTTGCTGCAGTTCAATTTGTTTCCTGGCTCCAGCTTCCCTAGTCCCTGCCAGCTCCCTGTCTGGGGAATGAGCTGCCTTTCTGCTGATGGAGGGACCGCACTAAAGAGGCAATTAAAACAACTACTCACATCGTGTGCAAATATTCTCTCCCTCACTCTCTGATATTCCTCTTCTCTCTCTTCAATTGATTTACTTCGTCTGTCATCTCTAAATGGATGCATTCTGTTTTGCTGAACAGAGAAAAGAAATCAGGAGGGTTATCCACGTTGAGCTGTTAGAAATCTGCAGTTAAGTAACTGTCAGCTGAGAATAATAAATGTTCACTTAAACAAATGGAGCATGAAAAGTCACACTCCCTCTAGTCCCAAGGGAAGCTGTGTGGAGCACAAGTGTGGGGTGTGTGTGCCTGACATGCAGGGCCACCAGAGACCTGCTGCTCTTGCTGGAGGTACATGGCACAGGTGTTTCTGGAATGAGAGCACCTGGATGTGCCTCAGGTTTCAACCAGTTCAGCTACTTGGGTCGCCAGTGATGCCCTCAGACTCATCACTGACTTGTGTGATTTGTACTCCTTAGAGGTGGAAGTGGCTTGCTCAAGGTGACTAAAGTGGGGGCGGGGGGAGAGGTGGTTTTGGGAAATCTTAGGGACTGGAACAATAGCAGGGGAATCAAAAAAGTAATGGGCAGGAAGGCAGAGGTGGGCTTTATTTTTCTATCTAAATTTGTGTTCTTGAGTCACTTGATTGATTCTGGGGTTACCTCTGGCAAAAGAAAGTAGAACCTACATTGGATAAACTAGTTTGTTGACTTGGGTCACTGTCGAGAAGTATCAAAGAACAATTCAAAGAACCCAGCATGAGGACTGCTCTTCTACCTTTCACCTGGACCACTTCCTACATTTCAACTACCCTCCCATCTTGTTCCTCCCAGCGTGCTCTGCGCTAACTATGTTCATCCATCCATTCAACAAACGCCCACGAGTACACGGCACAGGCACATGTTTTATAGTCAACTCAAGCCATGGGTTACCTCAGTGGTGGTGGCAGTGGTGGTGGGAGGAAACGAGATACAAATGATGAACAGGTTTCATAAAAAGTGCGTCAGAGATGCACATACTGGCTTACAATGACTCACTGAGAGTAATTAAAGTAATAGCTTGAGGGAAATGCATGTTGTCTTACCTTCAAGATTTCTAAGGCAAAGTCATTTGCAAAAAAATCTATTTTGATTGTCAGAGACATAAAGTGTAATTGTAGTGACATTTAGATGGCTTTCTACTATTCTTATCACTTATAGCATGTTTTCTTTTGCCATTTACTTAGTTTTCTTGCTAATCACCCTGGATCCCACCTCCCCCATCTGGAGAAGAGATTAAGTGAAGTGTCTCTCTACCCTTGTTGAGGTACATGAAGAAGGCTACTCTAGGACAGCATGTTTGGTTACAAGCAGAACACACACACGGAGAAAATTCGGCTACAGTTCATGCAAAACAAGCAGACGATTTCCATGGACAATAAAACATGGGAAGGAGAAGGGGTGGGAGACTAGAACATGAACTTGATTCTTTTCTGTGAAGACTTATTTTAGGATAGTTGCAAAATCCACCTGTCCTCACCATAACAAGGTTTGTTCTTTACAGCTACACCAGTTGATCATCGGTCCGTATTGATAATCCAGCTCAATTTGTGCACAACTGAAGGACAAAGCTGTAGGGAGTGGAACGACTTCCATAGTTACACAGACATCTGGAAATGCGACTGACAAAGCTTTCCCCAACAGCTCCGAGTCTGTGGCATCCCCACCCTCCACATGCAGCAGGAACTGCGCCAAGCACCACCCATGCAGCCCAACACAGAGCCATGGCTAAAGCAACCAGGACATGGTTATTTTGCTACCCACTGAGTGCCAAAGGGAAGGAGGAGGGCAAGAGGGTGGAGAGAACAGTAGATTTGAGGCAGGGGAGAGGCGGGAGCGGGAGGAGGCAACAACGGAAGAAAGACATGAACATCAGTCAGCCCACCTTCAAAAACAACAATGTCAGCCACTCTCAAACTTGAGACCAACCTGATTGTCTTCTTTATCAATACTAGAGTTATTTCGCTTCAAGATAAACCGCTTCTGGGATTCTTCACCTTTTTCATCTTTTAAATGTTCACAAAACCTTTGCTCTGGTCTGCCAGCAAAGTAAAACATATCAATAAAAAAGTTTTTTTTCCCTTGTTGAAAGTTATTTCTCAGTGTTGTTTTTTCCCCCACCGTGGCATTCAACTTAAAAAAAAAAAAAGTTCACATGCGGTTTTGATGCTTGACTTGCTGGCATTATACAGCCAAACTAACAGTATGTTCTGTCCCAGGTGTTAGGGACAACCTTTGGTTGTTTTGAATTCAGATTCTGGTTTGCTGCACGCTGTTTCCCATAGCTGAAGTCTTAGGGAATTTAAAGACCTGTTTTCTAGTTATTTTTTTTCTAGTTACCTAGTTGCAGTTATTGTTACTTCCATCATTCCTCAGTTCAATCAAGTTCCTGCCCATACTCTCAAGCAAAATGTTTGGAATTTTGTGGGAGACTGCCTCCCACAATTTACTCCTTTTAAGAGTCTTTGGAATCCATCATGAGAGGGGGTCACCTAGATTTAATTTCTGCCTCCCTCTGGTGACAAATGCTTTGGAATCTGAGGCTAGTGGATTCTGACATCCTTGACCATGTCTTGTAAATCAGTTCAGTAATTGGGGAAGCTGGAGATATTTAGTTTGAACAGCTTAATGACTGATTAGCATGGGGACAGCGCTCCAAGCAGTTACACACTATTGATTATCCAATTGATTATTTTAGACCCCCTTAATCATTTTACACTATTAGAGGAAAGGGCCCCACTTCCTTGTTAACTTCCCACAATTGTCACTACACACTACAGGACTCAATGGATGATTTGGACTTGGGCTCATCCCAGAGGAAGTGCTAAAACGTTTGTTCTGGGCTTAGAAGCAGGGGTAATTTATGACTCTCATTACAGTATCGCTGTCATGTCTGATGTATTACTTCTGAAGGCCAGTGGGTTTTCTATCCCTCTTGGGTTCATTATGCATTCAGTCATCAGGAAGCTGCTTCCCAGTGTCTTGCTTAATACGAAGGACCCATAATTAAGAGAATTCATTGCCTCCTTATATCTCCAAAATGAGCAAACAACACTTTGAAAACAAAGGAGTAGTTTAAATGTATATTCCAAATTTTAAAAAGAAGCATGTTGTCCTTAAATACATGTACAGAAATAATAATAATATTGATGAGCAGACTGTGACAGAAAATTGAATACCATTTGTAGCTTCTAGAACTGTGTGTAATTTTTGCAAAGTGATAACGTGATCTCATTCAATCACTCCAATACAACTGGTGTAGGAAGGGTAAATATTTTTGGCCTCTTTTACAACGAAATCTTTCCTCAGTAGCCCTTTTGATTCCAAGTTTGTAGATTTTCATAGAAAACCATAGACACAAAATAGTCTGTCCTCTCCGCTTGTATAGAACACAGTGAACTCAGGTCCTCAAAATCACCAAAAGAACAAAAACAATGTTTAAAGTACAATGAACAAATCCCGCATGACATCACCTTAAAGACAAAAATAAATGTTTCTCAGCAAAATTAAAATGTAATAAAATATAATTATCTGTAATTGCAAATACTGCATTTTAAAATCAGAATACTATGGGAATAAAGTGAACTTTTACTATACAATGAAGAGGGCATTTACAGTGGAGAAATTAAACACAATTTCAAGTAGAACGTGTTATCACATTCTATTTCAATTACTTATCATATTTTAATGTCTTGTAATATATTCATGAATAGCTGCTAGTCACAATCAATATAACAATCCCCTCTGAATTTTTTAAAGCATCCTAACATTTTCAACTGAAATTTAGAGATTGTTATATCACTTTTAATGTAGCAAGTGAAATTAGGATATTAGCTTAAATACAAACACCGATTGTGTTGGAGCTAATTAATTCTCTCCTAACATCCCGAAGCTCTGTATTCTGATAAACTCTAATACAGGGAAATTTTAGCTTACTGTTACAGCTATAGATATATTGCTTCTAATTCTTAAAAGTCTGTAACTACTCACTTAGAAATTAAATGGCCTGAGAATGTGAAATTTTTGATTCATGAGCATAAGGTGATTTGACTTTAAAATACTTTAAGAAGACCATTTAGAGTGAGATTTCAGCATATTAACTACAATGAGAATGTAAGTTCCATGTGAGTAAAAAACTTTATTTTCTTAATTTTTAGCTATGCTTGCCTACAACCATGCCTGGCATATGGGAAGGGTTTGGTTGAATAAATGAATGAATCAGTATGTGAATGAATGAATGAAAATGTAGTGCACATCTCTATATAAATCACTGTAATGGAAGGAAAGATTAAAGAGCACTGAATAAGATGTACTGTCCTAATTTTTTAAGTTATGATAAGGAGAGTATTTATTTAGAACGTGAATTTAAATTTGGAACAGAAAGATTTAAAAAATCAGATTTCAGACAAAAAATATAATAACATTATTAAGAAAATATGAAATTTGAGAATATCCTGGGAAGAGAGATAGAAATTGGATTATTAGTTTTTCTAGTTTTGAAATTGCTTAGTTTAAAGTTTCATTGTAGCATAAGGTAACTACTTAAATTTGTCTTTAAAATTTAAAATTTAGTTGCAATTTTTCATAGTTCTAGTTTATTTGTTTTTCATAGCAAGACATATTTAGAAAAATAAATCCATCACATAAACAAAGAGTAGTTGAAGAGCTTATTCTAATCAATAATGTAAATACCATGTAGAGCCATATAATTTCTTACTCTGATATAAATTATGCAAAATGCATTCTCCATAACCGCTTTTCAAAGATCTTGTTTAAATTTTTATCACACATCAGAACCTAATCATACAGATTGCTAATTCTTCTATGATTTCCCAAAAACATATCACATGATTAAAAGGTACCATGTGAAGTTTATGTAATAGGAATAAAATAAATCTAGTAATATTTACCAGGTGGATTTTATAGAGAATTATCCCTGACTCTAGAGCTAAGTGAAATCTGCAGTTTAAGCTCAAGCAAACTAAAGTATACAACTGAAGTATGGCATGTGATTAAAAATTACCAGTAATGCAGTACAATATCACAGCTATAAAAGGTACCTTTTACTACTAATTTAACACCATAACAATATTATTTCTTAGCCATAAAAATGAATGGAACCAGTGCAATATGTCAGCCTTTATTTAAAAATGATAATTAACTTTAAATGCTTCAAGATGAGGGTATAACTCTAACGAAATCTCCTCAAAACTGTGAAATATTCCAATATTTGATAACTTAATGATAACTAGAGTTACAGACATTATATATGCCTGTTATTCCTTCCTGGAAGCTTTGGTCCATTTATGTTATTTCTATTAGAGCTTTCTCTGTATCAACTTCAAAAAAGCAGAGAAAATGTATTTAATGTTTCTTCTTGATGAAAAAACTGTCCTTTTCTTAGGGTTAAGAAAGCTATTTTTTCACAGTTTGTAGTAGGTATCTATGATGAAACCAATGACATTTCCATCAGTGTCTTAGTCTCCCCAGTCAAGCTTCTGAAAAGTCAGAATTAACTCCTTTCTGCTACTTATTAGACCTAACTCATGGACTGAAAGGGAGAGAGGCTGAGTGAAATATTGTGTATGAAGACAATCAAACTTTTTCAATCAATAGCGATTTTACTTCAATTTTTTTCATTAGGCTTAAAATGGATGAGTAGTCATTATTTTACAAATCTTCTTGATCTAGAATTAGTTTCAGTGATTTTAGTCTACACTCCTAGGTTCTTGAGACCAATTTCATTACTTTTCTTTCAAAAAGTTCATCTTAATCTGCCTGTCCACTCCACCTACATATGTACTTACAAAGAATTCAATTCTACTAACTACAGGAGTCTTTGAATTTATAATGAATAACTGAAATATTGTCATCAACGTGCATAACTATCTTAATGAAGAAAGCTGCTTATAAAGTAGGACAAAATATTCTGCTGGGTAAGATATCTATCCAAAATATATTTTTTTAAGATTTATTTATTTATTCATACAGAACTGGGGTACAGGCCAGAGATGTGGAGGGTAAAAGGGTTCATCAGAGACAGAGTGGGGAGCAGAACAGGCATATTGGCGAAGTACACTGCTGAGGGGAGCAGCGGGCGGGTCAGGAGAGGTCTGCCGCGCCATGTGGATCTCCTCGGGCAGGCGAGGATCGAACTCATATGGAAGTGGCTTAAGCTTCTTAGTGCAGTGCTTTAATCCACTGCACCACGAGGGAGGGCCCCAAAATATTTTAATAATCAAAAATGCTAGAGAAATCTAGTGATATTATTTTCTTAATACTTTAAAATTTTCAATTGAAATTTCAATGACTGATATCTTTTATTAAAAAAAAAAAAGAAATCCTAAGTTCTTTAAGTATTTCATAGTTTCCACAATCACTTTGCCCTTACTACCATTTTGTTCTCTTCTGATTGAGACCACAATTTATATAACCGGGAGATGCAGTGTTAAGTGTCCAGATTCTCTCACAAGCATCTTTTAAACACATATTCTTCATTTTGTACACATAAAAATTTTATTTATCTTCTCTGTTTCTGTTTTACACTCTATATACAGATGCATGCAAATTAACACAGAAATCACCTGGACACTCTTTGAATATAAAGCTATTCATGAACAACAAAACTAAACACAAAACTCAAAGGTCACAAGGGTCTAAGTGGTACATGCTGTTAAATTGGTCCCACCTCTTTGGCAAGTTGGTTATAGCATTAAGAACATTAAAGATGTCAATCTACCTTGACAACGCAATTCCATTTCTCAGGGCAAATCCAAAGAAAAGAGCAATAAATGGATCCATAATTCCATTGCTTATGCCAGGAAAACAGTGGAAAAGCAACATGGACTGGTTAGGTTAAAACAGCTCTGTATGTCAAGTGCAACTTCCCAAATAAATGATACTATTGGCAAATGTAAGACAGTGATGTATAAGAAAAGAGAAATGCCGTATCTTATCTAGTTTAAAACTATAACATATATAGTATATGAAGAAGAAAGACAACAGTTGTTATCTCTGGATGGTGGGATTATGGGACAC